GGGGGGGAGTCAGGACCTCTGAAGACTTCAAGCAGAAAAGAGATCCAGCAATCTGCAGTGTGGAGGGTGACCCAGAGGGACCAGAGGTGGAAACTGGGCCTGTGAGGTGCTGGGCACTAGGAGGACACCACAGTCTTCAGGCAAGGCACAGTAGTGTCTTGGCCACTGGGAAGGGATTTGGAAGGGATCTGAGAGCTAGTCAGGATTTGGTGCTAGGTGAGTCTAGTGCAGGAAAACTGTAGGTCCCAGCTCAGGTAAAAGAGGGTGTGAGAGCATCAGAGCCTGCGTGGAGATCACTGAGACCCCCCACAAAGCCTGCAGGGCCAAGGTGGGAAACACAAGTGAGGAAAGTGGGTGGGGAAGCATGGGGAGGCCAGTGGCTCAGGGCAGCGGAATGCCCACACCTGCCCTGTCTGGCAAGTGCATGCGCCCTATAGCAAAAAGCTCTCAAAAAAATTAAAAAAGACATCTTTGGGGGTGATTGGGAGAAATTTTAATATGGATTAGATGCTGAATCATATTTAGATTATTGTTTACTCTCCTAGGTGTGATAATGGTATTGTGTCATATAGGAGACTATTCCTGTCATTGGCAGCTGCTTGCTAAAGTATATGGGGGGAGTCAGAGAGGTCTTCAGTCCTTCCAATCTCCTACTCTCAGAGAAGCCCAAAATGTGGATTTTTAGGGAAAGCTCCGATTTAGAGAAGTATAAGGGGTTTTCAAAAAAGTTCACAGAAAATGTGTATTATAAAAAAAACTATGCATAGATTTCAAAATTTTTTGCACAAAATAAACTTATACTTTAATTCCACTTTCCCACAATCGATCTGAAGTCCCCTTGCATTTCATTGTAAGCATATACTTTTAATAAAGAGAAAAGAGTAATAATTTCAAAATTCAAAATGCTGGGGGGCCAGCAGGTGGCATGGTGGTAGAGGTACTGGATCCCACAGGGTCACTGCATGGTTTAAGTCCTAGACCTGGAGACTTGAAAATCAAACCAGGTATATGTGTGTACATGCCCAAAATCTCAAGAGGAAAATGGAAGAGATGGGATTGTGGTGTGACCATCCCTCTGGGGGTGATTTCTCACTTTCCCTCTTGCTGCTTCTCTCCCCCTCTCCTCTCTCTCTCTCTCTCTTTCACACACACACACACACACACACTTTAGCAAGCAGCTCCCAATGACATCCGGGGGGGAGGGGGGGATGGCCACGCTGCAATCCCTTCTCCTCCATTCTCCTCTCGGGATCTTGGGAACGCATGCACACGCGCCCAGCGTGAGTTTAAGCCACCGGGTCCAGGACTCAGACCATGATTGACTACATGGGAGTCCAGTGATGTAGCCATTACACCATCTGCTGGTGCCCCCAAAAATGTCTTTTACAACTTAAAATATACTTTAAGGATTCAGTCTGTGGTTGTGCATTACAATTGGCCATTACATCTTTTTTCTTTTTCTTTTTTTTTTTTTTTTGAGAGGTTTTCGCTATAGGACACGTGCACTCGCCAGACAGACAGAGACAGACAGAGAGACAGAAAGCAAGAAATCACCCCCCCGGGGGGGGGATGGTCACGCCACAATCCCTTCTCCTCCATTCTCCTCTCGGGATCTTGGGCACGCACGCACACGCGCCCGGTTTGAGTTCTAAGCCACCGGGTCCAGGACGCGAACCACAGTCGACTACATGGGAATCCAGCGACATAGCCATTACGCTAACTGCTGGTTCCCATTACATCTTTACACTAAGCCTAACATAGCTCAGCATTTTCTATCTCCTCCAACCATAATACAGACTTTTTTAAAAAAAGGTTTTTGTCCTAGGGTGCATGTGCTCACCACAAAGAGATAGTAAGAAGGAAACAGAGAAACCACCCCCCTAGGAGGCATGCCACCGCAATCCCTTGTCCATTCTCCTCTCAGGATTTCAGACACGCAGGCACATGCTCCTGACATGTCTTTCAAGGAGCTGGATCTGGGACTCGATCACATAATCAGCCATGTAGAATCCAGCAGCCCTAATCACTATGCCATCTAGCTAGTCTTTAAATGTCATCGATAGTCTGTTCTTGTTTTTTGGCTTTTTATTCCTTTGTTTGTTTGACAAGTGAGAGAGACACAGCAAGAGAGACTGCAGCCCCCAACGGTCTTCATGCTGCAATTCACCCCAGCCCCAGCCAGATCTGCAACATGGGCACATGTGTCCCCCCATGTACTCGGGGAAGTCTCTGGACACAAGCCTGGAACCTTCCCACATGGGCCAGTTGCATTTGGTGTCACATTGTACCACTGTGTCCCCATGTGGCCCCCTGGTTTCTACCACACGTGTCTTCTAAGTGAGGTGGAGCGTTTTTCCTCTGTTCAGGGGTCACTTACAGTCCTTGTATTTGTCTGTGAATACCCATGCATATTAGTTACCCATTCTTTCATTTTCTTTTCATTCTTGTATTGGTCCTGATTTCTGGGGGCACTTTCAATATTAGGGAAATTGCCTCTTGTCTGTAAAATAAGTGCAAAAAATTTTTTCCATTCGTCTTTTGACTTCTCTGGTTTTGCCGTTTGGAAGTTTATTTTTATGTAGTTATAGATCTTTCTTAAGCTTCTGGATTTTGGATTGAAGTTAATAAGGCCTTCCCCATCCTGAGGTTCTAAAGGAATGTTTTCTTTTTATATGTCTATGTTTTCACTTTTTTCCTTGAATCTTTGATGTATGTAGTTTATTCTTTTGTAAGGGGTGAGATACTGGTACTAGCTTATCTTAGATTATTTAAAGTTGTCAAATATTTCAAAAAACTTTTCAAGTACAGTGTGACCAAACCTCTCCTCTGAGGGCTTGTGACCACTGGAGGCCCCTCATGCCTTTTTCTTTCAACAGATGAGTTCGACAATGCCCACTTCACACTCCTGGGTGTCCCCAACAAACCCTTGCAGTGCTTGGTGAGTGTCCTTTGCCCCTGACCAGGAGTTTGCTGGGGCCACCAACATGCACCCAGCCCCAAGAGTCTCTGATTCTGAACTCCTTTCCCAGAATGTCTCCCAGACTGCCTGCTCTGGACCCTCCTCGGCCCCCATCCTGGCCCCAACTTGAGGCACACACACACACACACACACACACACATACACGTCAGGTGGGCCAAACATCAGCTCAGGCCTATAGGGTGGTCTGATATAGTCCCCTAGGCTCAGCTCAGGCCTATAGGGTGGTCTGGGATGGTCCCCCCGGCTCCGGTACCTGCTCCACGGCTCTGATCTCCACGGCGCCCGTAGGACATCACCGCCACCGGCAGGAAGCTCTATAACAGGTACCACGAGGGAAAGTTGGCCCCCATCGCACCGGGCATCAACCGGGTGGATTGGCCCTGCTTCACGCGCGCCATCGAGGACTGGTCTCACCTGGTGTCCTCGGCCAGCGAGTTCAAGCTGCCCTGCCCTAGCAAGAGGAGTCAGTCTACAGGCAGTGGAGGAAGCGCTTAGGCGGGAGAGCGCTGGGCGGCTGGGCCCAGCTGCAGGAGGGAGAGTGAGCTGGGGGCGGGGACTGCGGCTGCGGCTGCGGCAGCGACAGGGTTGGGGAGATGGAAGCACTTGGGGCACCTGGAGCGTCTGAGACCCGGAATCCCTGAGGGACTTGGAGAGCGGGCTCCTCTTGGGAAGGGAGCGGGGGCTGGGACGAGGGCCAGGCTTCCGAGAGGCAGAGGGTGGGACGGAGCTGGGTCCCGGGATTAGGGTCCGAAGGCGGACTCTTCGTAGCAGGAGGTGTGGGCGGGGCTTAAGTACGGAAAGGGCGGGGCTTGTCTGGGAAGGGCCGGGGTCCCAAGATGAGGTCTCTCTCCGCAGTCGAGAGTTTCAGCAGCTACGCGGTGCGGCACTTGAAGCCAGATGTGACCCAGAACTGGCGGGTAGGCAGGGCTGCGCGCTGACAGGTCTCTGGGGGGTCTTGGTGGGGAGTGGCTCACGTCGGGTTGGATGGGGTGGGGAGACGGACTGCGAGGTCTCCCAGTCCTTAGGGCCCAGGTCTCCAGCAGGGAGTGCTGAGTGGGGCGTGGGCAGGGGTTCCGTGCTCCCTGGACTCACCCCCATCCCTGTGGCACGCCCAGTACTGCCTCAACCAGAACCCCAGCCTAGACCGCTACGGACAGAAGCCCCTGCCTTTCGACTCCCTGTAAGTGACGCCACAGGCCCTGGGACTCCACCCGGAGGAGGGAGAGTAGGGTCCTGGCTGCTCTCCCAGCGCACACCTAATGGCCCCTGTAAATGTGAGACCTGGGGGAAACTGACTGGCCCCAGTATACCAGAAGGAAACGGCCATTTCAACATGAATAAATATTAAATTCCTACCAAACGGATCACCTTGTCCTGTCCCTGGCAATCCCACCCTTTGGAATGGGGCTGTTAAGGTGGACAAAGGTGCAGCTTAATACTTCTGGTGGGATGGCGGGGAGCAGGGGCGGCTCCCGAGGAGGGAGTGAGTTGCCCAGAGAAGGCTGCCCTCCGCAACACTCCTTCTTTCCCAGGAACGCTTTCCGAAGCTTCGGCTCCCACTACAGGTAGGGAAATGGCCCCGCCCTCCCCCAGCGGCCACGCCCCTGATGGACTGTCCCGGGAGTGGGGCTGAGGGATGGGGTGTCCCAGGTTCTCAGCGAGCTACGAGACCTCGCTCACTCGCTTGCGAGGCCTGGCGAGGGAGGAGGTACCCCACCTGGGCGACGTCGGGAGGGCGCCAGCTGTTTCGCCCAGAGCGATGCCCACCTGGCATGTGTGGCTGTTGGGGAGTGTGCATAGTCTCCCCCTTGTTTGGCTCACAGGAGGCCAAACGGAGGAGGCATTGCCTGGGAGGAGAGTAAACAGAAAGAACTGAATAGAAAGGGCCAAGAATCTGCCTCTTAGTGTGTGGCTAGGAAGAGAGCATGTAAGGGAGGTGACTGGTGTCCCCAGCAGGGTCACCCCATAAGTAAAGGCTTGGAAGTGGGACCGAGAAGAGGGGGGTGCAGGGCCAACACCGTCATAACTTGGCGGTCTTCCTCTGCCCAGAGGTCTCCTCCTCACTCTTCAAACCTAGCATGGATGTCCCATCCTCCTTGAAGTCTCCCCTGCCCCTCTGCCTCTCCCTGACAGCTCGCACCTCCCCAACTGGTACCCCCTGCGTCCCTGTGCATGAGTGCTCTGACTAATCCTTCACCTGTAGCCATGGAACCCTGCTGCCTCCCCCTCCATGAGCCCAGAGGGGAAACTGCTTTTTACAACAGTATGAGGCCTGACAAACGTCACCAAATGGTTGGAAAGTGGGTGATGCCGTTCACAGTTGGGGATCAGTGGGAGATGAGAATGAAGTCAGCTGGAATTGAGCAGGGGGAGGTTGAAGGCCAGAGAAAATAGCCAAAATTATGAAAAAGGAAATAGGGAGTCGCCGAAGGCTCTTGAGCCACACAGAGGCATGTGGGAGCTCTGTTTTCAGAGCCTTGAAGACAAGAAGAGTTTGGGAGAAGGCCTAGGAAAAGACAGCCCCAAGAATACTGCCCTGGAGTCCCCACCTCACCCCTCTTTCTCCCTACAGTCGTGTCAACTACCTGATCCCCTGGCATTGATCTGCAAAAAGGATGCCAGCTTCCAGGCTGCCAGCTCGTGCCACTTCAGATCCCCCAGTGGGACAGGGGGCATATGGTGGCACCACTCATTTCCCCAGGAGTTCAGCCTGACTAGAAATAAACCTAATGCTCCCTCCGGGGTCATGAAGTGTGTGTGTGTGTGTGTGTGTGTGTGTGTGCACGCGCGTGCATGCTGCCGAGGCTGGGAGAGGGTCAGGCCCATGGGATCACAGCAGATGCCTGCCTGCTGCCATCTCCTGGAGGACGAACAGGGGCTGGGGGAGGATGTTTGCTGCCCCTGGGTAGAGTCCGATCTAAGCTCCAAGGCCCAGCCAGGATGAGGTGCAAGGGCAGGTCTGAGAGTAGGATTCACCTGTTGTTCCTGTCCCTTTCTTGCAGCCCCACATCCAAGTTCCCTCTACCTCAGACCCTGAGTTGGAGCTCTAAAGAGAAAGGGTGGGGGTTAGAAGGGACTTTAGGTGCCTCTTTCTGAAGCCCTGGCCATTGAGGAGGCTCTGCTCTGGGCGAGGGGGTCTTCCTCGTGCCTGGAGTCTCCCTGAAAGGAAGCAGGCTCTGGTTGGCCAGCCGTGATCTCTACTCCCTGTGATGCAATGGTATGTTAGGTATAGAGAGACCTGAAAGAGGTGCCTGAGGCCTCAGGAGAAAGCTCTCCTCTACCCAAGGCACTGCCAATAAATGTATTATCTAAGCAAAAAGTTGTCTGTTTATCCACATGCCTTCAGGACTAGCCTTCATCTGCCCACCACCCTACCAATCCTAAGTCCCTCCTGTGAAGGGAAGCCATGATGTCCTGGGGACAGCCAAAGGGACTCTTGGCCCAGGTCCAGAAGAACCCCACTCAAAGAGCTAGGACAGTTCTCGGGCCTGGGGAGGTCAGGGCAGCTAGCATCTGTGTTTATGTTAGTTCCTGGACCGTCACTACCTCTCCCCCACCCCAACGCACCACCTGTAGGCAGCATGCAGGGACAGCCTGGATCAGGGCCTTGCTGGCAGTGCCACCAGCTGAAGAGCTCTCTGTACAGGACTTCCAGACCCGGGATCTGGGGCTTTGGGGATCCTAGACCTCCCAGAATCGTGGGCAACCTCATGTGACCACCTGCATGTGCATTTTCCATGGACAGTTTCCTTGTTTCCATCTGATTCTCAGGAAGTCAGTCAGTGTCCACAAGTGTTAGGAAACCCTGGAGTACAGCCCTCTCCACATGGGACCCTCACTTTTGGGCTCTATGTTATACTGTTCAGAATACATTATCCGCTGATCCCAATTATGTCTTCTAGGTTCACGAGCACCCTAAAAAGTGAGTAGAGCCATGTTATCCTGTTTCACAGGTGGGGAAACTGAGGCCCAGGTCAGGGAAGTCATTAGCTTGGGCCAGAAAAATAAGAAGATAGATGGTCTTGTTTGGTATGCTGACACAGCCTGCTTTCAGACTCGAGGCTGACTCATTTCTTTTAGAAGGGGAGGTTATGATCATCGCCCTTATACCAGAGGGGCAAGGGACCTACAGGAGCAGAGAGAAGCAGGAAGCAGGTCCCAGCATCCCTTCTTCAGGGGCCTGGTAAGGAGGGAGCTGGCTTGCCCCAATTTCTTCAGGAAGAAGCCTCTCCCTCCAAGACTAGAGGGCAACAAATGTCAGCTTGGACCCAGGGAAGCCATTGATGAGCCTGGTGTCTGCAACCCCAAGTGTCCCCTCCAAATGATGGCTCAGAGAAAAGAGGATTTGCCCAAGGACCACAACAGGGATGCTGGAGTCCTGGCCTGGTTGAAAAGGGACAACCATGGAGCTCCAGGGAGCATGGGAATCAAGTCACAGGTTTTTTCCTGGCCCTGCTTCTTTGATACTGTATGACTAGGCAGTTCCTGCCTGGATTCAGCCCAGCAAATATCTGAGGCCTTGGCCTGGGCCAGGCCCTGTGCTGAGTGGACACAGGGAGGATGCCACCCCTGCCTTTGAGGTGCTTTCAGTCCAGTGGGAAAGATAGAAAGCGCTAGGGCACAATAGACCTTGTTCCTCCTGCCCCAGACACAATGAATGGAAACCCACACCAGCAATTTAATTAAAGGTTCTTGCCCACCAATTGTACATGTAACCCTCATCTCATAAATATAAGACAAAAGTGTGCCTATGAATCAAGAAAATGCAGAATAGATGAGCAGAAACAAGCCTGGTGTAGCGTGCATTTTCTATTTTTAAGTAGTAGGCAATACATTAAGTACTTTGTGAATAACTTTAGACCCATCTTACAGATGAAGTTGAGAAGATTAAGAGACTGGTCCAACATTACACAGCCAGTGATTGGCAGAGCTGGGAACTGAAGCCAGTCTGCCTGAACCCCTGGCCTTGGGGCCACCATACTCTATTGCCTTCCTGCTACGAGAGAGATGCAAGCCAAGACTAGGGAGGAAACCAGAGGGGAGTTACGGGGCGAGGGGCATCTGACTAGGCTTAGAGGCCATATAGGAGACCCATCAGAAAGCTCTCTTGTGGGGACCAGCAGATGGCATAATGTTTACATCACTGGACTCCTACGTAGTTGACTGAAGTTCGAGTCCTGGACCCAGTGGCTTAAAACATGCCAGGTGCATGTGCATGAGTGCCCAAAATCCTGAGAGGAGAATGGAGGAGAAAGGATTGCAGTATAGCCATCCTTGCGGAGAGTGATTTCTTGCTTTTCTGTCTCTCTGGCAAGCACACATACCTATGGCAAAAATCTCTCTAAAAAAAGGAAAAAAATTTAAAAAGAAAGAAAGCAAGCTCTCTTGTGGAGGCTGGTGAAACGGGGGTAAAACACAATGTACTGCGAGGCTCATCCACATGGCAAGGCTCCAGGTTTCCACCCAGAGACCACCCTAAATGTGCCTGGCTTGAGTGTGCCCATGATCCAGACCTGGCTGAGCCTGGGGGTAGATCATGACATCAAGACCCTAAAGGGGTGTTGTCTCTCTGTGTCTGTCTCTGTCTTTCTTGCTCATAAAAGAAATAGATCAATAAACTTGAAAAGAGAAAGAAAGCTCTCCTGGAGTTGCTGGCAGTGCAAGTCTGCAGATTGAGAAACCCACCTGGAGGCCGAGAGCTGGAAAGAACCCCCCCACACACACCCAGCCTGGGCCACTGTCTCCCTGCCGAGACCTCCTCTCAGCTGCCAGGGGCTCATTGCGCATCACAGATAGATCAGAAAGCCCCCCCCGCAAACACGGCCTTGGGGACACCCCAGCCTCTGTGGCCTTGCCTCTAGACCTTCTAGGGGTGACCCCAATCC